ACACAAATGCAGAGAAAACCCCCAGAGAAACACATGTGACATGCATTAGGGAGTCTTTCTAAGTATTTACCAGAGCAATGAAGTATAGTCAAGGTTATCTTTTTCGCTTTTGGCTTTTGGGACACACCCAGCAGTTCTCAGGAGGCTCTGCACTCAGGAGTCTATCCTGGCAGTGCTCAGGGGACCAAATGGGATGCCAGGAATCAAACTTTGGTTGGCTGCATGCAAGGCAAACACCCTACCTGCTGTACTATTGCTCTGGCCCAACAGTCAAGTTTTTCTAGAAGGCCTCTTGATGGCTGGCAGAAGACAGTCAACTAATATATGCTGTTGAAAGAACTGAAATGTAGAAGCATGAGAGTTTTGAGTATTCTGACTTAGGAAGGAAAAAATAAAAGATAAAATCTTTTCATAACTTTACAGAGAACTTGGTTGTGGAGAAAGAAACTCAAGTAGCACTTGAGCCTCTCCCTTCTCCTACCTCATACTTGACCTATTTTCTGGGGGTGGGAGCTTCAAAGTGTCCTCTCTAAGCTCCATCTATGGGTCATAGAGTTGGTCAGAGGAATAAAGGCTCAATCACAACAGGTCTCTCCCTCCTATGAGAGGTGAAAATTCAATGCAAGCAGCAGAGCTAGGGATAAAACTCAGTGCCAGAAGACTGAAGAGATTCTCTTCATACAATCTTCCAAGATCACCTGGGATTTTTAGGATCTTAGAACAAAGAAATGAAACAAGTATGTGTAGCTTACTTCTGTGGGTGTCACCTTGGAGTCCTGCTGAGCAGCTCTCTAAACTACTTACTGCACAGCTTCTAAAGGTAAAGGTAAAGGTAAAGGCCCTCCCGTTGATCGTCGATTTGCTCGAGCGGGCCCAGTAACGTCTCCATTGGAGACTTTGTTGTTACTGTGTCTGGCATATCGAATACTCTCGGTAGCTTGCTGGGCTCTCCGAGAGGGGCGGAGGAATCGAACTCGGGTCGGCCATGTTGGCTGCTTGTAAGGCGAACGCCCTACCCGCTGTGCTATCACAGCTTCTAAAGCTCCTCAATTTGTCTCAGGAGCTATCCCTGGTCCCAGAGAGGGTCTAAGTGGAACTTCTCAAACCCATTCCTGCTACTGCAAATAGTATCCAAGACTGCTGGGTTAGAGCCCCTTTTTATTTCAGGCTTTTTAAAAAAAAACCATAGTATTTTAAATCTTAACACAGCACATAATTCTTGGTGGTTGGTGGGTGGGAGGGAGTTGGAATAATGTTTAGGTTATAATAAAGACCAAAAAAATATAGACCCATCATGTTACCTTCAGAAGCTGTCACCGTAATTTATCACTATGGCCTGATTTCTTGTCCCTTTTGTCCTTCATTCTTTTCTCTTGCTTTTCATGGTTCATGGTGATCCCTGCTGACACATGGCATATTAGCACTGGGCTGTAAGAGCTTGAGGCATCTCTGCCTTCCAGCTGGTGCCCTATCATCCTGGGATACTTCAGACCCAATGCAATTTTAGGCTCTGCTTCAAAATGCGACAGCAGAATTTGGAGCAAAATTCCTTAAATGTGTATCTGAAATTTGAGCTGTTTTTCAGGGGAGACTGAAGCTGAGGTCAGAGACGCTGAGATCTCTTTTTAGAGAATGGAATAGGCTAAATATTATCTGGATCAGCATTCTTGTTGAAAATAACCAAGAGAGTCAGAAAATATTTTTTAAATCTTCTTCCACGTGTCAAAACAGAGAAAGTAGGAGCAGCAGAATTTTGGTACCGGAAGCCCAAGCATGCAAGTCCTCTGATTGAAGGAAGGGGAAGCAGACGGAGGTGAAACAGAATGCCTGGAAATCTGGTTCTGATCTTTAACCCCTTTTCATAGTAAAGGGCCAGATATTCCAGAAAGGAGGATTATAGGTGGTCTTTTGCTGGAAAGCGCAACCTTTTCAGCAGAGTGGGGTTCCAACCCTTTTCTATCCTTTTGTTTGGGTTTTTTGTTTTTCTTTTGGGCCATACCTGGGAATGCTCTCAGAGCTAACTCCTAGGAATGCTCTCAGAAATCACTCCTGAGAACTTTTTGGGAATGCCAGAGATCCAACCCGAGTAAGTCGAGTAAGTCGCTTGCAAGGCAAGTACAATTGCTCTGCCCCCTACCGTTTTATGGGGGGTGGAGGCAGGGATGGGAATTACCCATTCTGGCAAAGCAGTCAGGATGCTGGTTAGGATGAGGGATGGGCAGAGAGATAATACATTGTGGAAGGAACTTGCTTGCTTGCACACAGTTGACCACCTCCAGTTATGGTAGGTTAGGGATAAAACCTAAAATAAAATAAATTCAGTGAGTTAAGGAATTTTCAAACCCAGATGTTTATCACTTCTTATCAGTGTGTTCCCTCCCCAGGCAAGGACTCTGTCTCTACCCCTACCTTTGAACAGCCAGCAAGATAGTTAAGAATTACTCAGCAAAAATCTAAAGGAAACCAGATGTTCAACTGCTCCTGAGATTGACCTGGCAGCATTTGCTTATCTAAGTTACCTTACATTTGGGAGTGAATAGCTTTATAAAGTTTGGGGACATGCCACTGGTTAAGCATGAGACACAAATAAACTCTTTCCCACCCTCTGTGTATAGAAAAGTTTAGAAATGATGTGGAGAGCCGACTTGTGAATCTAGGAACCCAAACTGTAGTCCTCACATGTATTTTCAGCCTAAATTCCTATCACCTAGGGAGACCAAGCAATTGCCCGCAGTAAATTTCAATTGATGAATTTGCATTCTCTCAGACCAACGACGTATCAAGGGTAGGAGAGCACTTGCATTGAGTATGTGAGTTCTTGGGTTCTGACATTTTTGTTTATAAATTTTCTTTTGATTAAAATGTCAGCCTGGAGCATCGCTGGATGTGACCAAAAAGGAAAAAAAAGATACTCTACACACAGACTCAGAGAGAATATTTGCCTATCATTCATCTTCCAAAGGGTAATATAGAATATAAAGCACTGATAGAAATTAACAGGGGAATAAAACACCCATCCCCATCAAAAATTGGGACTAAAGAAGAGATGAACAAACAGAAACTTATTCAAAGAAGAAGTTGGCCAAAATTTATATGAAAAGAAAATGCTTTGCATTACTTAGCAGGGAAATGCAAATCAAGACAACAATGAGATATCTAAGGAAACTGACACCCCTGATATATCCTACTTTAATCTTGGTTAAGTGATTTGGGTTTTAAATGCTTAGTTTTAAGATGTCTATCAGGGTCAGATCAATAGTATAGCAGGTAGGGCATTTGATATAACATGCAATCAACCCAGGTTCAATCCCTGGCACCCCATATGATCCATTGAGAACCACCAGGAGTACAGAGCCAGGAGTGAGCCCTGAGCACCACTGGATGTAGCCCCAACCCTTCAAATAAATAAATAAAATGCTTATCATGACAATTAGATAACTCAATTCTGTTATTTTTCTTCTTCTTTTTTTTAAATGTAGTACTGCTGTTTAGTCTCTCATTTTTCAATGTCACTGACTCCGTGAATGAAAGAGGCTTTGTAATACATGCAAATTGTGTTTGTTGATATCAGTAAATTCTATACTCCTCTAAAAGATCAGAATTAAGTGCATTTTAACTTTTGTACATGAGTGTGTGTGATATAGTTGTCAGTAGATGTGGTAAAATATACTTTATTAAAATCTGAAACTACTAAATAATCAATTCTGATGTCTGGATTTTTGTAGCCAGTTTTCCACAAATGTTTCTCTCCATAAAAGGATAACATATTTGACATATTACCCACCTGGTGCGAAAAAAAGCACCTTTGGGTGCTTCATCCTGGGTCTCTGCTCAGGGATCACTTCTGGCAGGACTAAGGGGATCATATGTAGTGCTGGGGACTGGAGGCCTGATCAGTGAGCTGCAAGTCAAGCACTTTACCCACTGTACTGTCACTCAGCATCCAAATTATCTTTTAAAACTAGAAACTGTGCAGGAGAGTAGTTCAGAAGGCCAAATATGTGAGAGACCCGGATTCCATTTCAGGGAGTAGGTCCCCACTCAGCAGAGAGTAAGCAAGTATGTCTCTCACCCCCAAGCCTCCCACCCCAAGATATTGTGATACCAAGCTGTACATGTGCCTTTAAAACATTGGGATGGGGGGGGGGTGCTGTGAATGATCCTTCTCTCTTGCTACTCCTCCCAAAATCGATCTTAGCGCCTGCTCGCTGGCCTGCCCTTAGTGCCCACCAAACCCTGACTCCTCCCTTGGTCCTTCTCCCTCTCGGCCCCTCACTGGGTGTCAGCGCCCCCAGCCTGAAAGGGGTGCCTCCAGGCTCAAAGAGATGCCTCTATAAACACGTCCGCCACGTAACAAAGGACCAAAGGGAAGAGAAGGGATTGTATTTACTTACAGCTTAAAATACTTGTTGGTGGGGGCTGGAGCAATAGCACAGCGGGCAGGGTGTTTGCCTTGCACGCGGCCGACCTGGGTTCGATTCCCAGCATCCCAATTACTCCCGAGCACTGCCAGGAGTAATTCCTGAGTGCATGGGCCAGGACTAACCCCTGTGCATCTCTGGGTGTGACCCAAAAAACAAACAAACAAAAAAAGCCTTGTTGATTAAACGCAAAGTGCATCCCCATCCTTTAGAGCTCTGTAGCTCAAGGAGGGAGGAGGCTTCAGGTGAAGCAGCCATGCTCCGGGAGGTTAGCACCATGGCCAGCGCCCGCCATCCCAGCCAGCTGGAGCCTCTGCACGCCTCCATGCCTATATCCTCCGTAGAAGGAAGCAAGGAAGCAGCGCCAGAGAGGAGCAGAGTGGGAACTGGAGGGCAGGCCGGATAGCCTGCCAGTGCTTGAGGATGGGTCTGATCTAGAGGGTGAGCCGCGGTCTTTCCAGGAGTGCCCTCAGTCCAATTACTATAGAAGAAGGGGTCCTTCTCTCTCCCTGGCATCCTGTTGTACCTCCCCTCCACACCCCCACCCCCACGAAATAAGCACAACAACTTATGGCAGTGTAACAGAATAGCTGAGTTTAATGCTTCAAGTTTTGCATTTCCTTCCACAGGGCTTCACTTTAAAAATAACAAAATGAGGTAAATAAGTTAATGTATGTACACATTATAAACATTGTGTCAGTTTGTGGCAACAGCAACCCAGATTGCTAGAAGGTTGCTGTGTGGTGACTGAAGTTCAGTCACCTGCAACATGAGCAGATTTGTCGTCCTGAGGAGAATTGGCACTCTGTGGGGGAGAGTGGGGATCTAGAAGCATTTGCGGTGGACGATAGAGGGGCCAGCTTCATCATACTCCTGTTTGGTGATCCACATCTGCTGGAAAGTGGACAGAGAGGCCAGGATGGAGCCCCCAATCCACACGGAGTACTTGCGCTCAGGTGGTGCAATGATCTGTAAAACAAGAGCGTCAGTGTCAGTGTACTCACACCTCAAAGTCCCCCTGAGAGGGCAGGGTATGGGCTGCTGCCCACCTTGATCTTCATAGTGCTGGGGGCCAGTGCTGTGATCTCCTTCTGCATGCGATCAGCAATCCCAGGGTACATGGTTGTGCCCCCGGACATGACGTTGTTGGCATACAGGTCCTTCCTAATGTCAATGTCACACTTCATGATGCTGTTGTAAGTGGTCTCATGGATGCCCGCAGACTCCATGCCTGAGGGTAGGGAGGAGGGGATGAGTGGGCATACCATGGGTCAGGAGGAAATTAGGAGGGACAGGTGGTAAGGGTCAGCCAGGGAATCTCAGGGAGAATGAAGACTAGGGCTCACCAATGAAGGAAGGCTGGAAGAGTGTCTCCGGGCAGCGGAAACGCTCATTGCCAATGGTGATGACCTGTCCATCTGGCAGCTCATAGCTCTTCTCTAGTGAGGATGAAGACGCAGCAGTTGCCATCTCGTTCTCAAAGTCCAGGGCCACGTAGCACAGCTTCTCCTTGATGTCACGCACAATCTCACGTTCAGCTGTAGGGAACAGGGGCGGGAGAGGTGCCCTCAGCCTGAGGTACAGGGTTGACAGCTACTACCCCCCATCATGAGGGAAGCTCAGGGCACTGTGCACCTGTGGTCACAAAAGAGTAGCCACGCTCAGTGAGGATCTTCATTAGGTAATCGGTGAGGTCACGGCCCGCCAAGTCCAGGCGCATGATGGCATGGGGCAGAGCATAACCCTCATAGATGGGCACGTTGTGGGTGACCCCATCGCCAGAGTCCAGCACGATACCTGCAGGGGGCATAGAGAGGGGGCAAGGCAGGAGTGAACAGGTGGGCAGGCAGAGGGGTCAACAGCCTGCAGCATCTCCACACCCCATCAAATATGAAGCTGGGGCAGCTGGAGTTCCTGGACACTCACCAGTGGTACGGCCAGAGGCGTACAGGGAGAGCACAGCCTGGATGGCCACATACATGGCAGGCACATTGAAGGTCTCAAACATGATCTGGGTCATCTTCTCGCGATTGGCCTTGGGGTTGAGGGGGGCCTCGGTGAGCAGGGTGGGGTGCTCCTCAGGAGCCACACGCAGCTCATTGTAGAAGGTATGGTGCCAGATCTTCTCCATGTCATCCCAGTTGGTGATGATGCCGTGCTCAATGGGGTACTTCAGGGTCAGGATGCCTCTCTTGCTCTGGGCCTCATCACCTACGTAGGAGTCTTTCTGCCCCATACCCACCATGACACCCTGCAGAGGAGACACAGCATGCACCATGATCACTGCTCAGTCTGGGCCGGATGTGTAGGACCCCACCCACCTTCCTGACCACAGCGGCAGCCTGACCTGATGACGGGGACGGCCCACAATGGAGGGGAACACGGCCCTAGGGGCATCATCCCCGGCAAAGCCAGCCTTCACCAGACCGGAACCATTGTCGCACACGAGGGCAGTGGTCTCGTCTTCGTCACACATGGTGTCTAGTTTCTGCTAAGACAGAAAGACACACGTGTCAGTGCAGAGGCCTCCTGGAGGCAAGGCCCAGACCGTTGTGTCCTGCCATCCCTGGGGGCCGACCAAGGGAACACATCTGATCAGCAGAGCAGCCCCCTCCCGTATCCCTTCTCCCTGCTCTGTGTCAGGGAGAGTGACACGTGCCATTCAGACCACTCAGGAAATTTCTCCACAGAGCCTCTAGGGACTCGAGTCCCTCTGTCTTCACAGCTGGTGGCCTGCTGAGAGACCCTCTGCACTAGGGCCACCCCATGAGCCTGGGTGGCCTCAGAGGGCTGCCTGTTCCAACACTAGTGCCCATGGAAGATGAGGCTCTGGGAAGGGCTTTGTGGCTACCCAGGACACAGTGCCAAATTCCAGAGCCCACCACAGTCCAGACACAAAGCACGTCGCGTTTTCTTCACGAGTTCAGAGTAGACACTGTGCTGCGGTTTGACTTTAGAATGGGAGAAAAAAATGCCTTTGAGACAACAAAAGTCAAACCTTTCCTCTACCTAGGCACAGGCTACAGGCAGGCCAAGCACTCCAAAGCGGCCGAGGATAAAGGTGGAGGCGTTTCCCAACGCCAGGAGTCTTCTGACTTTTCTTGAAAGCGGGCTTGGTTGGGGGGACCAAGGCGCTTAGGGTGCAGATCTGGGCTGATGGAGTGTCATTTTGACTCTTCCAGTTCCCAGATATCCCTCGGAGGTGCCCTGCCCCCCTGTCTGCCCCCCCCTAATCCCACCACTGGGCTTTACCTGGGCAGTTGCCTACACCCGCTGCTCTGGGGCTCAGTCCTAGTCGTCCCGGAGGGCAGTGAGGCCTGTCTGGGCGCTGTCCGCGGGAGTGGCCGCTGACTTCCCAGCTCAGGTTTTATACAGCCCGCGGGCACTCCCCGAAGCGCCACCCCGCAGGAATGTCGCTGTCCTGCTCGAGCCTTATTTGGGTGTGGGGAACCAGACCCCCTCCCCCGACCCATTCTCGGTCTGGGTCCCCGCCCGGGTCCCCAGCACTGACCAAAGAAGGAGCGGCTGGCGGGGGACCTAGGTGCGCGACCGGGCCGTATAAGGAGCGTCTCCGACCCTGACCTGGGCGGGGCGGGCGCGGGGCGGGGTGTGCGGGGTGGGGGCGATGAGGGGGTGCGGCTGGGCCTAGCGCGCTGGGGCGCCTGTGCCCCTGGGATGCACCTGTCAGCAAAACCTCCTATCCCTACTCGTTTGTGCTCCCGGAACTCTGGACTGGGATTCCCTCATTTTACCCCTTCTTCGGGTTCTTGATGCAGACCCCCGCTCCTCCCCCCCGCCCCCGTACCCCAACACCCAAGAGGGCAAAGGAAAATTGGTACAAGGGACTGACGTAGTAAGAGCGAGAAGCAGCCATTGAGACGTGACACTCAGACCCCTCCCCAATGATCTTTGTTGTTTCTCCCCACCAGAAGCACCCCGGGGGTTCAGAAGCCTGACCCAAGGCGGCTCCCACCCCCACCACGGAGAGGTGGCATTGGCCAGAGGGCTTGCAGCTGTCGCGGGGCGGGGAGGGGTGGAGGGGATGACAACTGGCCAGGGCAGAGCGGGGCTCCTGGGGACAGGCCCAGCCTCCGCTCTGGCAGCTCCAAACATATCCAAGGCACCCGGAGTTGTCTCCAATGACAAATGGCACGGGGGTCTTCAAGGGAGTGTGTGTGTGGGTGTTCGATTCTAAACCCTGACTGACCTGCCCCAGTTGGGTGGGCGGAGCTGAGCACCAGTTGTCCCACCCCCACCTCATCCTCTTGGGCTCTAGAGTCACTTTACTGGGGTGACAAGGGTTACAATCCATGACATGGAGGTAGACACAGGTGAGGTGCATCGGTGAAACCTAGCTTGTACTTCTCCTCCAAAAGAAGACAAAACTATTGGACTCACGATGTGTTTTTTTCTCCTGAGAACACCGAACAAACTCATCTTTATATTTAGAGAGTGATGCCTTGCCAAGGCCAGGCTGCTTCCCAGTCTACCCTGGAGAGTGACCGTCCAGCAGAGCTTGCTAAAGCAGTTCTATTTATACCTTTGATCTATGGGGGATGTGACTTTCACATTTTTCTAGATGGATTTGGATCTACTTATGCTGAGGTGCAGTGAGGGGTCAGCAGAGGTTAATATATACCTTAAGAATTTCTTACTGTCCCCGTCCTCCAACCTCCCCTAGGAAGTTTACCTTCTTGTGCAAGGGACAAGAAGACACAATCTTTTGTGATGAACTCAGTGACATGCCTTAAGGAGGTACATCAGTGGCATGGGATCAGCCAGAATGGAATAATTCATTTTTCTAATGTTCTTAAGTGCTCCCAAAATAACTGCAATTCACATTTGGTAATGGTACTAGCAACTGGAACAGGTGTGGATTCTCTTGAGGAGAGATATAAAAGCACACTAGCCTCCTTCTGTAGCCATGCTCTTCCTAAAAAGGATCAAAGCTAGTGTGAAAAAGTTTGGTTAGTATTGAACAGACACAGTGCATATCAAGAGCTGGTTAAAAGCTACTATGGCTTCACAGTTAGACTTTTCAATTATTTTGGAGAATGAGTCAATAATTGACAAGAATCATATTTCACTTTTAACTCTGAGCTGCTGTGTCAGTGTGGTAAGAGCGAGAAGCAGCCACTGAGAAGTGACCCTCAGACCCCTCCCCAGTGATCTGTATTTCTCCCTACCGGAAGCACCCAGGTAGGAAGCCTGACCAAAGGCTGCTCAGTAGGTAGTAAACACTGGGAATGAAAAAAAAAAATGGAGGGGAAAGAGCTGGAAATGTTGACCTAAAAAACAGGAAGAACTATGCTGCCATTCTCTGGACATGCAAGAATTTGCTTACAGGGGCTGGAGTGATAGCACAGCGGGTAGGGCGTTTGCCTTGCACACAGTCGACCTGGGTTTGAGTCCCAGCATCCCATATGGTCCCCCAAGCACCGCCTTGAGTAATTCCTGAGTGCATGAGCCAGGAGTAACCCTTGCGCATCTCCAGGTGTGACCCAAAAAGCAAAAAAAAAAAAAAAAAAAAAAAAAAAGACTTTGCTTACATTTTAAAGGTGACTTAAATTATATATAATTATATATATATTTACACATGTGTGTATTTTTTAAGGTGAGAAGGAAGAGTTGTATTTATGAAAGAACCCCAAAAAATGGTACACTGCCTTTCGTATGTTTGAAAGGCATTGAGAAGGGTAAGGTGGTAGAAGAGGTGAGCAAAGAATTTAAAAATTATTATGGGGCTGGAAAGGTAAATCAATGCTTTGCTTTGCTTTGAGAGCAAATGATCTGCTTGCAGAAGTCCCACACTTGGCACATCATGGTCTCCCAAGACTGCTGGAAGAAGTCTGGAACCAAACACATCAATGTCATCACAAACTGAACAATAAAAGTTGATGTAATTTCAAACGTATTTGGACTTCTCAAAGATTTCTGTATAGAAATTTATTTATTATTATTAAAATGGGCAAAGAAGCCCCCAAACTAACATGTTTTTATCTTTTATTTTTTGGACCACATCCAGAGGTGCTCAGGGGCTACTCCTGGCTCCGCATTCAGGAATCACTGTTGGGAGGCTTGGGGGACCATATGGGATGCTGGGGATTAAACCTGCTATTTTTTAATTTTTTTTTTAAACCTGCTATTTTTATAGTAAGACCAAACTGCACCCTATTTCATGGAATGCTACTGTTTTCATACTGGTAGCACTGGAATGATCAGGAAAAATGAAAAATGTTCTTTAAGGGGAATGACAATTCTTGTTTTGTCTTGTTTCCACACCTGGAGAAGCTCAGGGCTTATTTCTGCCTCTGCACTCAGGGATCAGTCCTGGCAACCTTGGATCATGTGGATGGGATTCCAGGGATCATATCAGAGTCAGCCAAGTGCAAGGCAAGAGCCCTACTTGCTTTATTATTGCTCTAGCTCCCCAACAATTTTTTAAAAAAAATTCTGGGCCATACCCAATGATGTTCAGGGGTTACTCCTAACTCTGTACTCAGAAATCATTCCTGGCAGTGGTTGGGGGATGATATGAGACACTGGGGATCAAATCCAGGTCAGCACCTTACCCACTGTACTATTGCTCTGGCCCCAATAATTTCTTTTAAAAGGTTGAAAAATACTGCATTACTAGGGAAATATTCATCACATCTCACAGGAAAATTAGTCTAAAATATATGCACAGACAGAAATATGCTAAGATACGTAGTCAAAATGGTAACTGAAGTAATTTCTGGCTGTTGGGATTTAACAATGTTCCCCATTACACTCTCCCATCCTCCCATCTATACGTACTTTGGGGTAATGACATTTTCTTACATTATTTTAAAATATTTTGGAGCTACACAAGATTATTTAATATAAATGTACTTGATATTCAATGAGTGAGTTTCACATATGAACCTATTTTCACTTTAGGCATTCGAATAAAATGCCCAGAATAAAATGCAATACAGCATTTTCCTGGCACTATAAAATTGTCATTAATATGTTCAAGAAAAAGTAGGTTGATGGGGACAGACTAATATTTTGTAGTTATCAACCTCAAGATGTACACCCCCATTTTTCTGTACTTTCAGAAGCCTTGGCAGTCAGTCATGTACATACCCCAAAGCTGCCACCCAGTTAAAAAAAGCTACTCTTGCCTTACTTTAGTAAAAATACTAATGCCCTGAACAAACAAGATGACCTCTTAGTACCTGTATGGCAAACCATAATGCACAAAAGGAGAAAGAGAAAGAAAAGTGCTTGCTAAGAGGCAGGCTGAGGAGGAGGGTGGGGTGGGGGGAGGGGAGGTATTGGGGGATGGTGGAAAGGAAATTGGGGACATTGATGCTGGGAAATGTATGCTGGTAGAGGCATAGGTTTTGAAACACTGTACAACTGAAACCCAATCCTGAACAGCTTGGTAATGGTCTATCTCATGGACGTTCAATAAAACTAAATTAAAGCAAAACAAAAAGATGTACAAATGTGTTGGCCTACAACAGATTAAGAAGTACACAAATGCCATGACGTGTGTAGTGTTCCCTCAGCTCTCATTATGGGAGGAAACCAGCAGTCTCCAAGGGAGCATGAACCACCTACCTGCCTCCCAGACTAGCCTCAGGAAGGTGCTGGGAAAACCCAATTCAGACCCCATAGTGCAAAGCAAACATGACCCATCTCATAAAAGTTTTCTTCAAAAGCAAAATCCCCAAAACACAGCTACACTAACAATGGTGCCGAAAGCCTTCCACAACCCTAAAAAGTCTGCAAGGCTGTTGCTGTGTACTTGGAGTTTTGCCAATATCCCAAACTGACTACTATTCGATAACATCTTACTGTTTGAATAAAATCAGATTACAAATTGTGACTTTCAGAACAGCGTTAAAAGAGCAGGAAAAAACCTTCTCATAGTAGTTTCTCTTCCCTTAGAAAATATGCTCAATTAATAATAGATATATCTGGAGATTTGAAAAACACAAAGCATCCTCACAGAGCATCTCTATAATTTATTATTATTAATAGTTCATTCAAAAAAGTTATTGATAATTTTTTGAAAAGGTATTTAGAAAGAAAATTGTATAAAATTTCAGGCTTTAAGGTCTGGGATCTAACTCAAGGCCCTAAGTTTGATCCATCTCCACAAATTCAGCCAGCACTCCCAGTGACAGGAAAAAAAAAAAAGGCCAATCTAGGCCTAACATATCCATTAATATAATTTTTATAAATCCAATCATTTTGGTGCTGTAACTGCTGACCTTAATAACAGTAGTAGAGTGTTTTCTTCCTTCAAAAATAAGACAACTTAGAAGCTGGAGAGATAGTACAGCAGATAAGGTGCATGCTTTGCACATAACCAACATGGGTTCTATTTCTAGCATCTCATATGGTCCTTGAGCACCGCCAGGAGTAATT